TCTGTTTATTATTTATTTATTTTTTTATTTTTGTACGAACATTTAAGCCAAAGAATTATACAAATAATAATAATAATCTTTTAATCACAGACCCACATAATTCCAAAAACCTATAGCTAACTCTTGGATGAGCCTGATTTAATCAAACTATCCGCATGTTATCTACAGCTACATCCCCAACCCTAAGCGTATCTGTATGCCAGTTCATCGGCAATTCAACTCCCAACAGCAACTCCCCGGTACATTTGCCGAATCAATATGCAATATCCCCACAAGTAACGGATTGCAAAGCTCTCACTCAGAAAAACCCACACACAAAGAGAGATAGCGAGAGAGATAGAGAGAGAGAGAGAGAGAGAGAGGGAGAAAGAGAGCAATCATATCGATGGAGAGAACTGCCTGTCATAAAAGCCACACCACACACAAAAATTGTTGGCTATATCAAGAGGGGAGCAGCAGGGCAGGGCAGGGCGCAGCAGCTTTGGCATGAAAAGCACAAAACTAGGTTAGTTGCGGAGATTTTTACCTGCTCCCCGTGACCCCAAGCCCAAGCCTTGCCTCCCCCTCCCCCGTGCTTGCTCACCCACTAAAAAACAAAAATAACAATTGCAGTCCCTAACCACGCTGACGCCACATCCGAACACATCCCATGGCCCCCGACCCCCTCCAGCCGTTGCTGTCGCTGGCAATGCATTTCAAAACAGAAGCTGCCGAAGAAGCGAATCGGGCAAGGCGCTGGCACCGCCCCCCCCCGCCCACCATAGCTGTCAAGTGAACTGGAAGTGATACGGATACGCAGCGAGAGAGAGAGAAAGAGAGAGGGCGAGCGAGCGTGAGCGAGGGGCAGAGAGCGAAAGAGAGGGAGAGCCAAGTGAACGACATCGAACGCTGAGCGTGTTCACGTGCAAAATTGCAACGATTCCCCAGCGAGTTTCGGTTTCTCTTCTTCATCCTCCATTCCCATCCCATGCCTTTGCCGGGCATATTTTTTGTTGTTCTGCCGAATTCGCTTGCTTGTCTGTGCATGCAGCGGTGCGGTGCTTGTGCTTGTGCGTATACTTATGGCTGGCAGTGTAAAACGAGTTGCGTTTGGAGTGTGATCAATGATGGTGCGGATGGGGATGGGCATGGGTATGGAGAGTGGGATATGCCAACAGGAAGTTGTCTGCCAAGGATTTTAATCAGCTGTTGTCGCTGCTCCCCGATGATGTCCAGGCAGGCAACTGAAAGCCGATCGGCTGTGCGGTGACTGACGACTGCCAGCATCGATGTGAGGCAGAGCCGCCAAGCAGTGCGTTACGATTTTCCCTGGACAGCCATATATCTTACGCACACACACACACGCACAGGGAGAGGCACGAATGCATTCACTTTGTTCATGCGGTGGCAGTTATGGCGATCTACCCTAAAAGAGGAAGGAAAAATAAGTATGCCATGATGAAAGTTATCATTGAAGGATGGGCAAAGTGAAGCGGAAAATGTGTTCGGTTTCCAGCCAGTAGAACATTTCTGGAGCTAACACTTTGCGGATATTTTTACCTGATTCCTATTTGCATATCAACTCTGACTATCCTTCCTTCAGGCATTGCCGCATAAACGCATTTTCCCTGCAATCCCTTAGGCCTGGGTCGCATCCGTTTCCGTTCCCCTTGTATAGCTGGAAGCCAACCCACGAGGATAAGCTGCAAATGGAATCTTATCTCGCTCTCTCTCTTTCTTTCTCCATTACCCGCACTCTCTCTCACTCTCTCTGGCCTGTCTCTTACGTGGCTTCTCACTCCATCTTTCTGGCCACAGCTTGTTTGTCCACAGTGCAGCAGCGCCGCTAAATTGTTTGTCTTCTGTGTGTGTGTGTTTGGGTGGGTGGGTGGTGAGTGGCTGCACCCCACCCCCACTATCCACTCCGACAGCCCTTTCTCAGGGGGATGTGCGTGCAATGCCATTAACAATACGCCCAATGCCAAAAACTGGCAAACGCGCCAAATCCATTGTTATTTCGGCGGTCGATTGTTGTTCTTCCGGCTTGCGTGAGCTTACTGGGCGCCCCCAGTCAAGCCCCCCACACCACCACCCACACCCACACCCACTGCTAGGCAAATTGTGCAAACAAACAGTGGATGTTCCAGGCGAGGGGTAGTGGGAGGTGCTGAGCACTGAAAGGATGCTGCTCCACTCCATCCCAAACTTGCGCCACAAATCGCTTCAATTTCTGGGCTCTTCCCTCGACCCTACCCCACAGTTGGAGGATAATTTCGTTTGGGCTTGGGCTAAATTGGGGCAAACTCGGCCTCGGTTTTGTTTTTTCAGCTCGGTTTGTTCTCAACTGCAATAATCTTATTAGCAGTTTGTTGTTCGAACCTAATCAATTACCAACGTAATTACAAACTTTGCTAATCTGCTTCGGTTTCCCTCTGACAAGCAGAACAGAACAGAACAGAACAGGCGGAGGCACAGCCACCGCCACAGGATAGTGCCGCACAATATTGTTCGTGTTCGTGTTCGTGTCCATGTCCATGTCCATGTCCGTGTGTTCATGTCCATGTCCCGATTGGGAGCATGATACACAACACAACATGCTCTCACACGCTGGAAGGCAGAGCAACAACGCGTTTCGCTGCCTGTCGCTGATGCGGCTCGGCTTCAATTTAGTGGCCTAAATAGCGATTTGGCCAGTGGAGCATGACAAAGGAGATCTCATCAAATGTTGGGCATTGTTGGGGTATTCTGACGGTAGAGCTGGACGTGGACGAAGCAAAAGAAGTTGTCAGTTGAAATGGATACTGAGCGTGTTGAATTATCCATGAATGCAAAGAGTTTGAGCAAATGGTAATTGAATCTCGAAAGAGCTTGAAAAATTTCCCGAATTTGGCTGTGATTTGGAGAGAGCTGTGGAGAGCTGTGGTTACATATGATATGTACATAAAACAGTAGATAGTAGAACTAATATTTTAAGAACAGCCTGAAGGCCTTGTTATTTTGGCTATAACCCTACGCTAGGATACAATTTTGTAAAAATAAAATAAAAAATAAATAAATAAAATAATAAAATAAACATAAAATAAATAAAAATAAACCTTATATGAAATTGCGGTATCAATTATGTCTAACTACAGTAGAATTATCAATCCAGTAGAGTAGAGCAAGTAGAGCTAAATATCGCTTGAAATATATTTTCTTTATTTAATCTTCTCATATTAATACTCCAAGTTATGAGTTTATTCCCACAAAAAAAAAAACTTCTGTCTGGCTCAACATCCATATCAGTCCATATCACACACACACACAACTTTACCTACGAGTATGAATGAATGAATCATCCATTTGCTGCTCCCAAATGATTGCCACCCCCATCCATCCATCCATCCATCCATCCATCTATATGTGCGACGAGTATCAACCTGATTTTCAATGAGCCGCTTATCCCTAGCCAACAATCAATTCGAAGCCCTCCACTGGCTACACCACCATTGTAGCTGGTTTTTATTCTATTGAAGCATTTGTTGGAAATGCCAACAAACTTTTTGGCTTAATCAAATGCCAAAATATTTGAATATGCCAAGACAAAATTATTGCCGTGTAAGCTTCCCATTGCCTTTTGCTGTCGACGGCATCAGCGCAGAGGCAAAAAACTTTTCCACGCATGATTTAAATGGGGGAGAATAAATCTTGCGTTAAGACTCGACTTGGATTTGGATTATGCAATGCCTGCAAGGGCGAGCGGAGGACGAGCGGCAGTAGTGGGAGACGGGACCGGAACGAACTTGCTGCGTCACGTAGTTGCTAAATTTGTTTACACGTCCTGCCCGGGCATCCTTCTCGCCTGCTCGCCTCCTGCCAGACTTCGCCATGCCACATGCCGCCGCACTCCCCGCACTCCACACCCTACACAATTGGCATAAAGTTTCTCATATGCAAATCGCAAGTTTAGCAAAATATTTCGTTTATTGTTGAAGTTTTCTTTAGTTACTCTCTCCGCTCGTCAACATTCTGTATGTTTTTGGCTCTTATTTTATTTTCGCTTTCCCAGCGACTTCTTCGCTGAGCAACTTTTTGCCCACCCCGCCAAACTTTTTTGGCGCAAGACATTTTTTGATAAATTATATCCCCAACGTCAGTCAGTGTGGGGCCGAACGGGGTGGTGCGGAACGGGGCGAACGTGTAAGTTTATTTCGGGCAAAGAAAACGCAATCGTTATTTGTTGTTTTTTTTTTTTTATATAAAAATCATGACACCTTTTATTGATTTACTTATTCTGTTTTGTATGATGCTTGTGTTGTGTTGTGGTGGTGAGGAGTTTGGGGGGTGTGTGTGTGTGTGTTTGGGGGGTACGTATGAACCATATGCACCGTATATTAAATTTATACATATATATATATATAATTTACCCTCACTTAACTAACTGCCTCTTTATCACTAGTATTACGTTCTCGCTATTTTCTTGACTTAATATCGCATCAGCAAATATATCCCCACCATCATACCACCCAAAAAGTTGTATTATAACTATTTTCATACTTCTTGCTTTTCATATCAAATTGCGGTCTAGGCTCCATTTGTAGGGGGGTGGTGGGGGGTGGCGATTTGAATTCGCTTAACATCTAGTCAGAACACACAGCCTTGCTTTGTTTCTCTAAAAAATTACACTTAGCGGCTAATTATTAATTACACATTTAATACATAATACATACACACACAGAACATTGTTTTTTTTTTTTGCGTTTGTTTTGTTTTCTTCTTAATTTGAGTTTAATCCTAAGGTGAATAAAAGTGTCTGCGATGAAATTAATTTCAATTTAAAGCCACATCCAGATAGTTCATATAAATGCACACACCGCGCTTTGACCAAGCCTTACAACAAAAAATCTATTAACAGAATAATAAGTTGAAATAATTGTGTGTGTTTGCTAATCTCTTCGTCTGATTTGTCAATGCTTTTGGGTTCAACTACAACAACTAAGGAAACGTAAGCAAAATAATTGAGTACACAATTTAAGGTTTTCTTTGTGCTTAATTTTAGTTTTTTACTTTATAAAATGGGTTTGCTTTACAAGCATACTCATAAAATGGCAGCTTTCTATCTATACAATATTTAAGTTTCTTCTTCCTCATTAACCAGCTTCTTCTTTTTTGTTTTGTTTTTACAGAGTTTTTCTCATTTTGGTTTCGTTTTGTGTACAGCATGTACAGTTTGTTCGATTTACAGTTCTGGGGAAATTTAATCTGCGACAGCAATCAGATTGGCAGCTCCTTCACGTTTCTAGAGAGACTCAAGCGCAGAATATTTACAATTTTTTGGGCTACCTATGCGTGATATAAAAACGATTTGCATACATCTGAAAAGAGAGAGATTGAGAGAGAGAGAGAGGTAGAGAGCATGGCATAAGGTATTAGAATTATATATTTAAAGCTATGTTCGTTAGGGCTTACCTTTCCACTGTCGAGCAGCAACTACCAACATGACTTTGCCCAATCCTCTCCAAAAATAAATAAATATGGAAATGGAAAACTACCAGAACGTACATGGCATCTGTGGGGTGGATTACAGAAATGAAACAATCATTAGTACTAGTGAGGGAAAATTTACAATTCAACGAATATACAAAAAAGTGTAACAGAGACAAACCATCAGCAGAGTTTACTGAAATTCTAAATCAAAAAAAGAGAAAATAATATATGCAAAAAACATTACAATGTGAGAGGCCCGTTCCAGGTTACATTTTCGCTTGAAATTCAAAGCGATTTCTAGTTATTTGGAAATAAAAGATAGAACATATTTTTACCGGATAGAATACCGGATGTTTACCGGTACATTTAACTCAGAACAGACCTTTCCATTGTTAATGTATACTTAAATTAAAAACAAAAAGATTAAAATACACGCAAGTTGGTTTGATAATTTTTCTTGTGCATTTGAAACAGAGAACAAAACTTTATTTAGATATGTATGCAGTTGTGTGTGTAGGTGTATAGGTGTGTTGCGTTTACATATGTGTGTGTGTGAAGTAGTGTATGTGTGTGTGTGATATTTTACATAAACAAAAGTATGCTACATTATGCACTAATATGTATACTCCAAAAGATGTGCACAAACAGAAAGCAAGGAGGAATAACTTGTAACTAAGAACAGAAAGTTTACATGAAAAATGATATATTTATATGTACTGTATGTGTGTATTTTGTATACTCGTAATACCAGAGATGCTGTTGAGAAAAAAAAATAAAAATATGAAAATCAAAAATAATAATATAAACTCCATGACCAAAATAAATGGTACTTCAACATAGATAACAAAATTTTCTTCTTTCTTTTTTTTTTTTGGATTTCATTTGGTTTTTGTAGATTTTCTTTGTTTGTTTTTTGTTGTTGTTGTTCCTTACAAATCGCAATATTTAACACTCAGAAGCGTACGTGGTTGATTATTAATTATAATAATAGGAATATAGTAATAATAATGAGGGTAACAAAAACATTTGTTTCTTTCAGTACAAATAAAAATTGAGTTAGTTTTTTTTTTTGGGGGGGGTTGTGGGTGTGGGGTGTAACAAATCAGAGAACTAAAAACTAACTATACGCGGCAGCATATAGATCTATATATTTGTATATATAATCCATTGAACAAAACAAGTAACTTGTAACTACAACTAGAAATATACATATATGCCATTTAGTGGGCATATATATTAATATTATTATGTTAAAGAACTTCATTGTGACTTGAAACATGAGCGATGAACAAATCAAAACAGATAATATATAAACTGCATATAAAAAATGTATCGGAAATATCAAAATAACTTACAAACTAACACTCTGAACAGATCTTGTTTATCCTTTTTTTTGTGTGTGTGTTTTTTTTTTTGTAATGTTTTTTGTCATGATGAAAAATGTGTACAAAATATATTTAATTTTTTAAAAAAAGTTTTGGTTTAACCAGCTCGTACGACAGTTTAAAAAAAAAATGAAAAAGGAGTCGTAAAAGATGGGTGGGTTGTGGTTGTGGTTGTGCGGGGGTAAGAGTACTTCAACAGAAAGTAAACTAAACTACAAACTAATAGTTGTTATATATTCTTGGTTTTTCTTTCAGTTTTACGTTTTGTTTTGTTTAGCTTTGTTTTTCGATTCTACTTCAAACATTTAACGTGCTTAATTATAAGTGTTTTTTTTTTTTGCTTGCTGTCTCTATTTGGCACGGATTTCATGTCTTTTTTTGTTTGTTTGATTTTGTGATTATTCATTTTTATACGTACAACGTTTGGCATTTGCATCTTTTTGTTTTCGGTTTACTTTCGATGCGCGCGCTCTACACGGGCAACTCTAATTCAATGACTACTCCATTCGACAAATCTTTGTATTTCTTTTGTTTGTTTTGCTTGCTTGCTTTTCATTTTTGTTGTTTTTCTTTTTTTTTTACTTCTATGTAGATTACACCAACCGATGTCCGATGTCCGTTGACTTATCCGTTGTTCCGCTGTTGCGCCTGTCTACACGTCTACTAGTAGGGCTTGGAGGCATCCTTGGGCTTCTTGAGCTGCACCTTCAAGCGCTTTGTGCCCACCTGAAAACCATTCATGGCCTTGATGGCCACCTGGGCCGAGTCCGGATTGTCAAACGACACAAAGCCAAAGCACTTCGATAGACTGGTCTGCTTATCGATGAACACCTTGGCCGATATGACATTGCCAAAGGGCAGGAATGTCGAGGCCAGATCCGTGTCGGTGAATTCCTGCGGCAGATGGTAAATGAACAAGTTGCATCCCTCGGGTCCTGTAAAAGGCAATGAAATAGAATTTACGAAAATTAGTTTTAAGCTTGAATATTATTTAAAGGGAATATTTAAACAGTAAATATTAGGGAAATAAATTCTACTTGTGGCAAAGCAAACTGGCGACATTTTTTGCCTCCTGCTTCCCATTGTCAATTAGTTTACATTTTTTGTTTGCTTCTGTTGCACCTTGTAATGGGCAATTAATTAACAAAATCACCCGCCCATTAAGCCCCCCCCAAACATAGAGACTGAACAAAAGCTGAAATTACATATATGAGGACTCCAGGAGGAGCAGGAGTGCAGAAGCAGCAGCAGCAGAGCAGCAGCTGATTGCCGAAACGGATGCGGAAATGATGCGTCCAACTCTTAACAATACGTGCGAGAGGGCTTCGGGCTTCACCTCTCTCTGCCTGCCTCCTCTCTCTCTCACACTCTCTCTCTCCGCCCTCTCTGTCAACTGTCCATCTACGTGTGTGGGTGTGACATTTTGTTTAGCAGCACGTGCCGCTGGCGCTGCTCATCATTATGATCATCATCATCATCATCCTCCTCGTTTTTGCTGTCACTCTAACTCCACCGCTCTTCTGCTGCTGCTCTGCTTCTACTGCTGCTGCTGCTCTGCTGCTGTTGCTCTGCTTCTGCTGCTGCTGCTCTGCTGGCTGCTGCTCTGCTGCTGCTGCTGCTCTGCTGGCTGCTGCTCTGTTGCTGGCTGCTGCTCTGTTGCTGTCTCTATCATGAACTGGCGGCGTCGCATATTAATAGGACTCGCGCCTGCCTCGTGCTGCGGTTGCACTTTTCGTGCAAATTACTGTCAACGTCAGTTGTAGTCAGTAGCCCATGAGCAAGCAGTCAGCAGTAATACAACCCATCCAAGCAGCTAAAGCAGCGTCACAGCAGTGCCAAATACATGGATAGCTTGGGGGCAGAGCAGAGGTAAGAGAAGAAGCCAAGCAGCGCAGCGACCAGAAAGAGAGAAAGCAGCGCGGCGTCAGCAGTTTCGTTTTCACTTTCCGTGAAGCTTTTTAATGACAGCAAAACGCTTCCAGTGACAGTCACAACGGGTCGCTCGCACATTCTGCGGTTTTTCAATTTTATCAGTTGGAAACATGAAAAACACACAGACACACACACAAACAAAAATGCACTGAAATGAGAAAAACAATAAAGTAACCTCATAGGCGAAGGATGTATGTGGGGCATGTAAAATAGCCCAGGCAAAAACCAGCTGACATGAGTGGAAGGCTCAAGCGAATGACAGGAGAGAGGGGGCACACTTGACCCTGAGTTTGGAATTAAATTAAAGCCACAGAGTTTGGTCTCTCTTTATCTGAGACAACCTACAGGAAAGCATATTTAAGGTCTTCCCTCAGAGAATTCTCTAGAGCTCTTCGGCTGTAAATTTCCCTTTGATAACTATGCTGCCTGCTGCAGCAATGTTATCGTGAATGCATAATGATAATGGTAACAATTACAATGCCTTTCAGATACTTTGATGTTTGCCACATAGCCACATAGACACCTCCCACACCTCCCGCACACACACACACACACACCCCATGCGAGTAATCAGATATGATTGTTGCTGTACCTGCTACTCGCTCACGAGCCTAGGGACAGGCAGGCAGGCAGGCAGGCGGCCATCATCAGGCAAGGCAACTCCATCATCGTTTGCCAGAAGCGCTATTGATCACATTGATATATGACTTTGTCACATAGCCCTGTCCCTGCCCCCACTGCCTGCCACTGCCCCTACCCCCTGCCTGCCCCACTGTCCCTACCCCACTGCCTGCTGCAATCTGTGTGTGTGTGTGTGTGCACTGCTGAGAGGCTCTGGCTAACCCACATAGCAGCGCCTACTTTGCACTCCTCTCCAGGTAAACTGACTGCTGACAGATTGCCTGACGCTGATGCGATTACAAATTGAATGGCGAAGAAAGCCGCTCCTTAGGCTGCTCCCCTCGCTCCTTCAGGGCAGGGCATGGCATACAGTGATGTCTCGATGATGCCATGATGCCCAGGATTTTAATATTAATTGACTTATGGACGCTGGTGTTGTTGCCGCTTTGCTGTGCTCTGTAATTTTGCACACCTATCAATTAATTTAGGCTCTGACAACATATGCGTGCGTGTGTGTGTGCGTGTGTGTGTGTCCTGGAGCGTAGTGAATGGAGAAAGTCCAATTAAAAATGCTGCTAGCTATTGAATTACGCGACTAACAAGCGACACGTGGCTCAAACGATAAATAATTAGATGAAAGCGGACAAATGAGTGATAAAAGAGGGTGGCTAAAGGCAGGCAAAAAGGGCAGGTTCCCAAGGCATCAAATGAAAGACTGCGACTGCGACTGCGACTTGTGTTTATGGCGCCCTTCAAAGAGAGATTCGCGGTAAATATATACAGAATGAATGAATATAATGACTGGCATTGGCATAGGTGTGGGGCCAGCTGCTATAACTGAATATCTTTAAGTACTGAAGTCAGTTAGGTGCAAAGCAGTTGCTATCTATATATGCTGAGATATATAAGAAAATAATCACCGCGAGTGCCAGGGAAATTATAGTTTTAGTTACAAATATCTATAAATTTATTTAACTGCCAAAACTTGAAATGTTTTGCTACATTTTTCCTACACCAAGAATATGTATGCAACTCTTTGGGGTGGCATTTTCCCTTTTCACACAAATAAACTTCCTGTTTTGTTTTTCTCAATTCCCTGCATTTTGTTGGTTGGTTGCTGGAATTTTTTTGTGTGTGTGCGAAAAGCGATTTCCTATATTGCATTTTCCTTTTCCGTTCAGCAAAGATGCGCCATCCGCCTTGCCAATGTCTGTCTGTCGTCTGTCTGTCTGTCTGTCTGTCCAGACCGCCCTATTGATGCACGCAGCTACAGATACAGCTACAGATGCAGGGCACGGGGGGATGTACGAGTGGTATGTATGTCCTACTTCAACATATTTTTTCGCCATTTTCTTGGCTGTCGCGCGCACACTGCCAGGAGGCGGTAGTGGAGTGGAGTGGAGTGGAGTGTCTGGAATGTCTTGTCTCCCCCTTTGCACTCTCAAGGGCATAAGCGAAGCGAAGCCAAATGGAATCTGTGGCATATAAGCTACAGTTCCAGTTACTGCACTCTCCTATTCGTATTCCTGTTCGTATTCGTAACTGGTGGCCCTTTATTGATTTTAATGCGCTTTACACTGGCAGAAATTAATTAAAAATCTCGCATGAATTGAAACATGGGGAAAGATTAGGAAATGGTGTTGCATCTCGAATTATTATTTATTATTATAATTATTATTATTATTTATTATTATTATTATTTATTATTATTTATTTATTATTGAAGTATTAAGCACTTTACTTTATTCTCAGTGTATTGCCTTTTGCCTGCTCCTTCTCCTAATCACTCACTGGCTGTTGTAGGTCACCTCTCGTTCTACAGTCTCTACCATCAACATACATACAGGCAGGCAGGCAGGCAGGCAGGCAGCATAAGTCGCAAATCTTTCGACTTCCTATGCCGTCTGACAATCTTTCTCGCCCCCACTGTCTCGTCTCTCTTCCGCTATCTCTCATTCTCTCTCTCTCACTCTCTGGGGTCCTCTCTCTTACTGGGTTATTTTATATTCCAACTTCCGGCTTATGCACATGACTTTAATCCGTGGTGCATCCGGAAGCAGAGCGAGAGAGAGCGAGAGCGAGACGACCGCTGCCGCCTTAGGGTCACCCAGCCATGCAATGCCATGCCATGGGATTCCCATCGTCTGTCACTGTCATATTTGTTACCGCCTTCCTTCCGTCACCAGACTCTAGACAGAGGAGACTCTGGGGCTGAGGCTCTGAGGCTGAGCCTCCTGCTTCAACCGCAGCCTTCTGCCCATCTGCCTTCCGCCAGATTGTGTGCTCCCCCTTAAAGCATTATATTTATTTACTGCACATAGTTCTTAGCGTTCTGGGCTCCGTTTAGTAATATTTTTTTTTTGCTTTAGTTGTAGCTCTTGCGCTGCTTCCTGCTTAATTTTGCGCCTGTCGTCGTCTGGGCCGCCTGTCCTGTCTACATGCTTATAAGTTGTTTCCTGCCCTTTTTTGTTATGCTCCCACTCTACACATCCTTACACAGCTTGTCTCCTCCTCTGCTGCTGCTCTGCTGCTTGTCGCCATTTGATAAATTTCACATGTTGAGAATTTATCTGCCCCTAAATCCCCGCCCCGCCCCGACCGACATTGTTGCTGCAGTTTTTCCCTTGGACTCTTCTCTTCCACGCAGATTGCACAAATCTGACATTTTTAAGATTTGCTCAAACATATTTTTCGCTCCCTTTTTTGCCTAGAGTTCGATTTGATGTTGGCTTAAAAGGGAAAATTGTAAGGGGGGAAAATACTAAAGAAAAATAATAGTAAAAAAAACCCCCCCATTGTTGTGCAAAAAGGATATTTAAGCTGCTTAGCAAGAGGGGAAAATATCATCTAACAAATTGCATAAAAATAAGATACATTTATGTACATAGTACATACATATATTTAGATATTTTATATGGGAAATGCAGAAAAAGGCAACTATGTACATACAGATTACAGATACATACATTATGCTTAAGCTTTCAAGAGAGTATTTCAAATTCAGTTTGCGCAGGCTAAAACTGTGGGGAGGCCTGGGGACTGTTCTTTTTATAATAAGATGAAAGCTAAAGAAAAGTTGAATAATAGGAGAATATTTTATATTATATTCCTTTAAGATCTTTGCCATTTAATTAAAAGTCTGGCTAATAGATAATTTCAAGTTAGACAGGAACTATCGAATATCGAATATCTTAGTGCCGCAGCACTCAAAAGATCAAATTGATTTGCTCTATTATTAGGCTGCAATATTTCTAAAATATAAATAAATAATAAATAATATAATAAATAATAAATATAAATAAATAAAATAAAAATCATTCAATTCCCATAAAGTTCCACTAACCCCATAAAATAAATGTGCAGTCAAATGTAAAATATCCATTCGGATTATTCCACACTAGACAATCTACCTGCCCCACAACCCCTAATTATAGCCATGTTTACTACACGCTGCCACACACGCCTCCCCTGCCTCGATCCTTCGAAGATGCTCGCTCCATTTGAGGCAAGTCCAAGTCATCGCTGATAGTTTTTCAAAATCTAACCAACCGAAGGAAACATGGCAGCTCACATTTCGCATAGCATGAGCAATTTGTTTTGGTTCCCGAGACTCCAGCACACCTACACCCACACCCACACACACTGACAATCCAATCCCCTTTCATGACTTGTCGTTGTTGTTGGTCATGTGGGAATTTTCGGCGACGTCATGAGTCGCAGCAGAGCAGCACAGGAGGAAGAGTCACAGCAGAGCAAAGCAGGAGGAAGAGTCACAGCAGAGCAAAAGAGGAGAAAGAGTCACAGCAGAGCAGAACAGGAGGAAGAGTCACAGTCACAACAGGAAAAGTCGCAGCAGGCAGCAGCACACAAAGGAGGACGAGTGAGAGTCGAAGGAGGAGGAGTGCCAGAAGTCACTCAACTGCAAAAATATATCTCACTATATGGTGTACAAATACTTATATGTACATATACATAAACATGCATACATACATACATACACACATACATGATGATGCTCACTCTCTGTGTCCGTTCCTCTGTCTGTCTGTCTGTCGGTCTGTCGGTCTGTCTGTCGGTCTGTTTGTCTGTCTGTGTGAAAGGTTGGGATGTTTGCTTATGTAACCGGAAATATAGCAAAAAGTGCAATGCCAAAACATTTTCCGTTGCATTTTTCCCCACTTCTACTGCTGCTGCTGCTGCTCCTGCTGCTGCAACTTTAATGTTATGTGTGCCAAAGCACTCATACAGCTACAGCTACATCTACAGCTACAGCTACATCTACATCTAGGGTAGGAGAGAGAGAAAACGAAAACGGTCTCCTCCTGTGCAATATATCCCCGATATCCCGACATCAACATCGACGTCTGACTAATGGAATTGTGTGTCAAGTGTGTGTAATATTTGCACTGTGTCAAAAGCTGATAAAAATTTAAGCTCCACCAAAATGCTGCTCATAAATTCTGCTCCTAGTGATGGCTGGGGAGTGGGACAGACACACACACACACACACACTGGGAGTGGAGTGGAGCATAGATACTGCTGTGTGTAGAGTGGAAAATACTACATACTACAAGATGATTGATCTTATTGATTTTTCCATCTCGTACAAGCAGCAGCTACATTTGCTGCCTTGGCTGGGCGGGCGCTTATGGCATTGAAGGATTTGTGTCAGCAAAAGGCAGCATTCGATTGCGGGGATTAGATGGCTGTAAGTGGGATATCGCAAAGTAGATAGAGATGATAGAGGCAACTCAAAGATGCTGCTGGGGCTGGCAGCAGCACACGACACACATTTTGATTTGTTACGGGCGGAGGCGTCCGTCCAAACATTTTTCAAGATTTATTCATTTATAGCATTCCAGCCAGGAGACAGAACGCAAAGGATTAGAGTTGTTGCCCCCCTGTGCACCACACCAACATCATCATTAGTACTTCTGCTGGCTGTTTTTACTGCATTCCAAATCCTATTCCTATTGCTCTCATCCAACTGCATAGCAGCCATTTGATAGATGACTCTTTACATAAAAATAAGCCCCAACTGCAATCGCTCCTGCTCCTGCTCCTCCTCCTCAAACAAAAAGAACAATGGCAGAGCCAGAACTAAAACTAAGTAGATTAGACAGACACATTCACATAATGTCCATGACAAGTGGGGTGGGGGGGAACGAACACAGATGGTGGGGAATGTTCGAGGAGGAGGGGGTAGAGCGGCGGGGCAATGAACAGACAACAGACAGCTGAAATAAAAAAACCACATCACGAACGAATGACGCTGACAGCAATGAGCGGGTTAATGCATTTGATGCTGCATCAGCAACAGCAGCAGCAGCAGAGGCAGCAGCAGCAGCAACAAATACAACTGCAGCAGCGATAAAGGATAGAGTATTGGCACTAAGAACGAAGTGGCAATGCCCTAATATTTATTAAAATGGAAGAGCTTTCAGTAGAAAAATGTTCCAACTTTCTTTTAGAATTATAAACCAAATTCTAAAGTTCTCTCATTGCAACAAACGAGATTGAAGTCTATTTTTTTGTACTTAAAACTATGCCAAAAAACTCTGACTCTGACTGCTCGCTGAATTATGTATACCCTCTGCCCTGTGAGGGCATACAATCTGCCAGCTTTATGTAACATTGAAGCGAAGCGCAGAGCGAATCGGAGTGACACAACCGCAGAAGCAGCGACAGCGGCAGCAGCATTCAGGCATTTTGTTACATTTATCAAAATGTCAGCCATTTAGACATTTCTATTCCTCCTGTGTGCCAGCACGCAGCTTCACTCTCAGTCCAATCCCCTCCCACAAAACCCCAAAACCCCTCCCCCCACTTGCACTCACCTTCAATCTGCTTGCCCGCAGCGGCGGCTGCTGCGGCGCTCAGTGCCACACTGGCCAGCGGCGATGTGGACAATGCACTGGCGCTGCCAAATTGCGGCAAGCCGGCGGCTGTTGACATATACGCCGATGCCAATGGATTCGGATCCGACCCTGTGGAATGAATGACAAAAGAGAGAGAAAGAGAGAGAGAAAGTGCATTTTAGTTAGTTTCATGACAAAGTAAATTCGAATTTTAGCTGAATTTTTGTTTGGTTTGTTGGCGAAAATTACATAACGAAATTATAAATGTGGCTGGGCACTGTGAGTGGTGGGGTGTGGTGTGGTGTGGTGTGGTTATTGTGTTGCGTTGCCAGTTTGATTCACTGGGAACTAGTTCGCTCCTGTGATTGTTGCTTAAACTTAGGTCTAAAACTGTAGTATAGAAAAATTAAAAAATATTGGTGGTATTTTCTCGTATTTTTCGTTCGATTAGAAGCAACACAATTTGAGCATGAGGGCATAACGGAATCCTATATATTGCACATAAAACATTTTAATAATAATATTAAATTTTAAAATAATAATATTAAATTTTAAATTAATAATATTAAATTTTATAATAATAATATTAAATTTTAAAATAATAATATTAAATTTTAAAATAATTATTAAATTTTATAATAATATTAAATTTTAAAAGAATAATATTAAATTTTATAATAATAATCAAAATAATTTCAGTTCTAATCCACACTTCTGGAAAGTCTTTCTTGATCCATATTCAAGATTTAACACGGGGTGGGGTAATGTGTGGATGTGCGGCAGAGGGAACCCTTTTTCCAAAGTCCCTTTTCTACCCACTCAAATGAGAATGGAACCAGTTTTGCAAACTCTTTTTTCGTAAACATTTCTGATAAACAGTCCATAATTATTATTCAGTAGGTTTTCGTTTCGTCAGAACGTAATTAATCATTGAATTTTACACGCTGCGACATGGGGCGACATTTGATTATTTTACAAAAACACACACACACACACAACAGCAACAAAACCAACACACACACACAAATCTAAAATTAATTTGTCTCGATGTGGGGGGGGGGGGGGTGGCTACTCTTCCCCCTTGTGTTGTTGTTGTTGTTGTTGTTAGTGTAGTTTCTGGTTTTTGGGTTTTGTGTAATTTGACGCCTGTTGTTTGTTATTTAGTTGTTTTGCGTGTTTCTCGCCATTGGCCGTCATGCAATGCAATTTTGTGGTTTTCTCGCCCCCTCCCTGACCGAAGCGCTCTTCCATCAAACATTTATTTTATGGTATGGCATGGCATGGCATGGTCTGGTATGATCACTGTTATTAATGAGTTTTGCAAACGGTCCTGTCCTGTCCTGTTTTGTGTGTTGTATAATTGGGAAAATTTGCAGCATTGCGGTTGGTCGACAATGCCAACTGTGACTGCAACTCCGACTGCGAGAGACCCCCGATGATTTCAATAAAACAAATTGGGCTAATAACGAAAGTATTATGACTGCGAAAATACATAGTGATAGTTGTCACAAACAGCAACAAGAGGGGATAGCAAAATATATCAAATATTTAAGTATATTTGGTATTCTAAAGATTTATTCAATCGGTAAATATATTCAATAGTTAATAAAATAGTGTGGATAAATAAAAGGGCAAAGGGCTGCGTCCACTGTGCTCTCAACAACTAAAATCCTGAGTCAAGATTTAATTAAATTTCAAGACACTAATCAAATATATTCCTGAAAAATCCCACTAGTACAGATGGAGCAGTGAAAAGAGACAAAAGAAAGTAGAGAGATGTTGCGCTCTCATTTAGTCATTTCAGACATGGAATACTCAGCTACACTGTGATAGGGGAAAAGATAGAGACGAGATCAAGCGAAAAACGTGACATTGTTTTGCTCATTCTGGCTCGTATAACAATGTTCCAATCTTTCTTATAATTATAATAATTTAAGTACGCAAATATTCCATTTTCTATAAAGATTGCAGACCCTAAAATTGAAGTCAAAAAGTTTGCCAGTATCAAAATGAATCTAAAACTTGCGCAAACGAAAAAAACTTCAGATTTTCTGAAAGGTGTTGGCCCTCAATTCTTTTTACTTTCGATAAGAAATTGTAATTTAACAGAGACTGTACCCGTACCCGTAACAGTAACGTACCAAAAAACTTTGTCTAACAATTTGAAATGAAAGACAGATGCAGACAAACAAACAAAAAAATACAGAAGGGGAAGAGGGGGAGAAGGGCAACTTTTGCACATATTTGTGCTGAAAATTGTTTTAATTGTTGTTCAAAGTTTTTGGCAAGCGAGGAGCATGGCAATGGGAAAAGTCAGTAAGTAAAACTTGAAATATGCCCTGACCGGGCCGGGCCGGGCCGGGGCCTGGCCTTCGCTCATCAAACAGCAAACAGCAAGCAGCACACCAACCAACCCGACCAGGCTAACTAAGTTGGCCAATAATAATACACATGAGTGGCCGGCCTGAGAGTGAGTCCCTAAGAGCAAAAACTCTAGCTAAAAAATAAATAAAAAAAAATAAAAAATAAAAAATCAAACAGTCAAAAAGAAGCTGCTCCAGATAATGCCTACAACTATTTGCTGCCGGATGTTGTCTGTTTTTTGTATTTGCAAGTTTTTAGTTTACTGCTTGCAGAAATTTGTTCCGCTCATTCCAAGTGCTGGGGGTGGTGGATTTTACAATATTCCTGGCACTGGACGGACCTCCTCCAGATCCACCTCTTCCTGGCTGGCCACTTGCAACAAGGCTATTTGCAGACTTTTTGTTCAGACTGTTGATGTTGTTATTTTTTGCTGTAGTTGTTATTTGTGTTGTTGTTTTTGTTGCCGTTGATGATTTTGAAGTGCAAAAAGCGAAAAAGTGTATAAACAAACGTAATGGAGAGCTGCTGCCTGAAAAGGCAAAGAAACGCAACTGAAAGCAACTGAAAGTCGAAAGCCAGCAAGAAGAACAAAAACGAAGGAGTTCCAAAAACGTGTTGAAACCTTAAATCAGTTTTTTTTTTTTTGGGGGGGTGGTGGTGGAGGGCGTTGTCAGTGCCTGTCTAGTGTTGGTTAGGGTTCGATGTGCGGGCCCCGGGGGCTGATACTGTTTCTGGGTTCTGGATTCTGGTTTCTCGTTTGCTAGTATAAACTACATAGTTTACTGCACTTGAACAAAACTTTGATTAAGATTTTCGTTTGTTGCCTGCCTCAGCCTCAGCTCCGGCTTTTGTTTTTCTGTTGCAACTTGACGGACGGGGACGGAGAGGTCGAAAAGTGGAGAGCGAGTGAGCTTCAGAAACTTTTTGAATTGGATGCGCTTCAGCTTGAGGGTATGTTCTTCATGAGTGTTGTAGGGGGAAGATGGCCAGATATACAATACAATAGAGTGTGCTGCGATATAGAGACAGAGAAAAGCTAGTCAAATCTGTTGCAGGTCTTTTTGGTAGTTTTTTTTATGTATTTGGTTTTCCCACAATTTCTGGTACATAAAGTATGGAGCTGCTTGTTTAGATTTGTTTAGGGGTTTTGTGGTTTAAGGGTAAAAAAAAAAAACTTTGGAAATAGATAAGCAATATCCAGAGAGAGAGCGAGTAAGAGAAAGAAATCTATTTCTAAATCTGTAAAAGCGGTAAATGTATAGTTCATTCATTCAGTGGCAGAGCAAACATTGAAATACAAATTAATTGGAAATTCTTGAGCTGAAAGAAAACGGCTTAATTGATTGTAAGAGTCGATTGTCCATTGTACAATGACGCATACAGTCCAAATCTCAGCCGTTACGGCAAAACGAGAGAGCGGAGGAGCACGAGCTGACAACAAATATTTTCACAGAGCCTACAAAATTGTTGCATCATTTAATTCTATGGTCTGTATATTGTAGTATATGAACGGGGGTTCCATGGAAGTGCAAAACACTGTGACCTCTAAGATAAAATCTGTAAGATATAAATTCCAAATCCATTCCAAGCACCGTGGTTAAAACAAACCCACCAAATGTCAATACATATCCCAACTTCCAGTCTATTTTTTTTTACCAAAGTTTGCAATCTTTGCCAGTTGGAAATATTTTAAGCCAACAAAAAAAAACGTAATCAAGATTGTTCCCATTTGTACTCCCCCTCCCCTCGCCCCTTCCCTATTCTATTTTCAATTTTAATCTGCAACAATGTACGCTGCATTTTCTGGCGTGTTCCCTCATTGTTATCTCACTTGCAATTTGTATCGAGGAGGAGCCATTGTTTCGCCCCCAACTAAACCTCACAACAATTAGTTTTTCGTTAGTCCTCCAATTCTCCCAGCCAATACGCTTTCCATAAACAATTTGCAGGCGGCTCCAGAAGGGGCCCCAGAAGGGGCGAACGAACCGAGTGAGAGAGAGAGAGCGAGAAAGCTCAATTTGTTTGTCCATTTTATTTGTGGCAGGCAAAGGGCAGCGCCACACACACACACACACACCACAAACAGTCACTGCAAAAAGTTTTGTTACTCGTGGCAACTTGGAAAGCGATTTTGTAGTTTAGTTTATGTATCCGGGAAGGCACAACAAAAAAAGTAGAAAAAAAAGGGACGAAAATTCCAAAAGGAAAGTTGTTTTCTCTGCATTGGCATGGGCAAAGAGGAAGGGGAAGGGGAGACAGGAAAGCCACACGGACGAGATAGGCGCATCGTATCCCTGGCTGTCCTCGCTGTCAGTTGCACTTTGAACTGAGTTTCCATAGTGCCACGGAGTCCTCAGAGTCCGGCAGAGTCCTCCAAATACTCCAAGCACATCTCCTGGGCAAGAATTTTTAATATTTCATTAAATGAAGTGCCCGGAAATCGTTCAAGTGGCACACGATGAGCACGCACAAGTGCACAAGGGCCAAAGCTCACGGTAAGCCCCACTAGTGTCTCAGTCCCCCCAGCAGCAGATGATAAGCTACCGAAAAGAGAGATAGAGAGAGAGAGAGAGAGAGAGAAAGAGAGTGTGTGGAAGGGGAATCCGCTTAATTTTTGGCATTTTTCTGGTTAAGTCAGCCGCAGATTTTCTTTCTTATTTGTCGAGGATTTTTTGCTCCTTAACTCCACCATTCGGTGTTGTTTTTTTTTTTTCGTTTTCCCTTTCCCCTCTCCAACTAAGAACCTCTCGAAATGAACTTGCTAAGAAAATATTTAAGAAGTGAAAGGACGATAGGTACAGGAGGTACAGGAGGGACAGCGGGTCGAAAGAGATGGTCTAGAGATAGGCAATGACATTTCCTTTGGGCCTTGGGACTGGACCAACTTTTCGTTTTATTTTTGTCTCCTTGCGTTTTGCTTTTTGCTTTTTTTTTTTTTGTCTGACGTTCGTTCTCCTCCTTCTGTCTTTGCCACATTTAAGTGGAATTCCTTGTGGTTTTTTGTTTGATAAAATTGCAGGCGACAGGCCATAATTCTTTTAGCAACTTATGCTTTTTAAAACTAACCAAGGAAACGGATAAGTAGGACGAGATGAAGAGCGAGGCCTAGAGATGGGAATCATGCGACATGCGAATTGTTGATTGTGGATTCCAAATTTGGCACAACATTTCCAAGGAAAAGTTCTACAAATAAATGAAGATGTTCTGCAGTTAAAGGAAGCACTTGTTAAGAGAGAATTCTGCGAAAATACTCTGGAAAAGCAAAGAAAACAATGAAGAGGGCTGATGCCTCAAAGAAATTAAGCTGAATCTTACAACAATTTATGACATTTTTAGCTTTGAATTAAGTGCGGAATATTTCTTTTTCTAAGAATAATTTAATTTTAATTTAATTTAATTGGAGCTACAAAATAATGCAATATATTGGGCAAAAATTAAGCTATAAGCTACGAGTATTTCCGTGCTCACTTCTCCATCTCTCATTACTATTTCCTGGTGCAAGAATAAATACAATTACATGGCGAATTATGCAGTTCATTGGGCTGATGCTAACCCCAACTCCTAATACTCTTCGTGCCATTTTTCGGCAATCTAGTGGCCACTGCTGCTAAGTTCTGAGATCTAAAAACTGCAAAAAACATTGCACACTTTTTGCCCCAAAGCGAGAAAGTCAATGAGGCCAAGAAGAAACGCTGCAAGTGCCTTGCGCTGCGCTGCGCCCAAATTCCCAGCCCACACCCCGGGGACTACAATACTGGGACCCCCACTGCAATAAGTTCCGTGTTGTTAATTTCGCAAGAGAGTGTAACTTGTAATTCTGAATGTTGTAAGGTCTCTTCCATTGAATGCTGCTGCAGCTCCTGCTGCTGCTCCTTTACACTGACTTTATGGCCATCAACTCTGGCCTGGCCTGGTCTGGCCTGGCCTCGCCTCGCCTCGCTTCTACGGCTGTGGCGGGTGACGTAAAACACAATGCGTTACGGGTGCCAGCACGTGAGCGTTACGTCGAATGCTTCGTTGAGTTTAACTATCAAAGTTAATAACTTATATTTTTTTTACGACAAAATGAAAACGAAAGCGAGCCAGTTGAGGGAAAACTTTGACAAATAAAAAAACTAAGGGAAAACGTAAAAACTCAAAAGAAAATGCCGGCAAAAACATTAGAAGGTGGGGTGGGGTGGGGTGTCTGTCTGTCTCTCACCTGAGGATGATAATGATGATGTTGGTGATGTCTTGGTCTTGGCAGCGGCCTTCTTGCCCAAGAGGCCTGCGCGCACCATCCACACCAAAAACCAATTCACAATAATTAATCATTGGGTTAGCACACACAATTCAAATGGAGAATAAAACAACAACAACAATATGTTAGTAGATATGTTAGTAGTACACATGTAGCTATAAATATTCTTAACTAATTACGATGGACGCCTGACGTCAATCGAAAATGGGTAAGGAGGTAAGGTAAGGAAAGGAAATTCTCTTTTGCCTATTTTAAGTTCCAATTTCCTTGGAATTTCCGCTTCGATGAAATGACAAGGCCAGAGACCTTGCGCCCTGATTGTAATTTGCTTGCCATGGATAAATCGGAGGGCGCAACAGGAAGGTGGGCAAGGAGGTGGGTGGCGGGGGATTGTTAAGGATGTTTCACTAAATTAAGCTAATTGGCCACTTTGAACGTCAGGGCTGGATGACACACATTTTGTGAGCCAAAAGCCAGAAATAGAAAATCAATTTTTGGGGGTGGGGGCGGAAATAGTTTATCGAGTGGCAAGTGCTTCGTTTCGATACAATTTGGAAGCAAAAATAAATGAAAATTGATAAGTTTATTGATTGGGCTAGCTGATTGGAAATATTAGAGAAAATTTGGTTATATAAATAAAAGCAAACAAATCTTTGCCAAGCAAGCAGCCAAGAACTCTGCTTATATGCTTTTAGCCATTTGCCACTCACTAAACAAAAACAAAAATAAAAATGTTTGGAGTGGCGGCCACAAGATAATTACAAATCAATAAAACAAAAAAAGAACTAAGAACTAAGGCCTAAGCAACAGGCCAACAAATAAGGCAGAGGGATAGACTTTCACAACAGAAAAACTTCAATACGGAAATGAGGGAAAATTAGATAATTAGCTCGAGTTAGCAGCGAGCAAAGGGTGGGGGATAGGGGATGGGGCATGGCCATGGCAATAGATGTGTGGCATGTGGCACAACTCTGATGAATAATTAACACTGCCCACACACACACACACACACGGCGGTAGGATAGAGCTGCTTTCATCTAATGAGCGGTTCTCCTTCAGCAGCAGCAAGAATTTCCTGGCCATAGTCGTAACATTTGATACCCTCCTCTCTCATGTAAGTGTAAGGGACTCTGCATTGGGTGGGGGGGTACAACACTTACAGAGCAACGCAGCCGTGTTCGTCAGTTGGGCACTGCCCGGCGATTGTGCAGCGGCAGCGGCTGCTGCGGCATTCGTTAGACTCGGCTGCGTCATGGCCGCAATGGCGGCCAGATTCTGTACGGTCATCGGAGTGAGGAGTCCGGCGGCAGCGGCAGCGGCACTCTCCTGATTTGCATTGTTTTGCTGAGCATTCAGTCCAGTGAGAGCTGCGCATAGTGGGGAATGAATGAAGGAGGAGAACAACATTGCTTAATAATCCAATCCAATCCAATGCCATGGCTACACGCTACACGATGATTTACCTTGTAGCAACTGCTGCTGCAGGCCCACGGCCTGCAACTGTTGCAACAGTTGAATGGAGGCCGGTGTCAGCGCATCGGCGCCCAGCACGGGCGACTGCTGCTGCGGTGGGTTGGGCAGTATCGGTGTGGACACACTCTGGGCCGTCTGACCCAATGGGATATTGATATTGCTGGCCAGATTCCACAGATTCGCCTGTATCTGCTGTATCTTCTTCTGTTCCTTCTCCTTTTGGGTATCGGCAAACTTGACCACCAGCGGCGATGTGCAGCCCTCCATGATTTTGTTTTGGCTTAAAGTCTGCATGAAGAAAGTAAGGCATAAATTTAGTTTATTTTTTTTGGGGCATACATATAACTAAGTTTGGGGCATGCCTGCCTAGGCACTTACCACTTTAATGGCCGAAATGGCGGCGTGTTTGGTGGCGAATGTGACAAAGGCACAACCCTTGCTCTGGCCGTTCTGATCTCTCAGTACGGTGCACTCCTCAATGTTGCCGTGGACCTCAAATAGTTTACGCACGTCGTTCTCGTTCAGCTTCTTGTTTAGCATGCCCACAAACAGTTTGCGTTCTGCAAATTCAAATCAAATCAGACAAAAAGAAAATAAATATAGTTACAAGTTTTTATGTAATATGTACTGTCAAGGGGCAGGCAGGCAGGCAGGCGGCAGTCAGACCTTGGCCTTGGTAAGTTAATCGCGGCGTGAAAAACCTGGTGGCGGAAGCCTCAACCGCATCAAAAGGTAATCCAATAACCAGGCGGGCTCACCTTGCCTTGCCACACTCAAGTGGGTTAGGGCCAGTTGGTTCGGTCGGGGATTAGGTTCGGTCTGGGCTGGGCTGTGGGGTCTGGGTCTAGGTCTAGGTCTATATCTCTGGTGTGTGCTCTGTGCTCAGCCAGGCTTAGTTAATTTTACCATTTTCAATGCTCAATTAATTTTACATAAATTAAAACTCTCTTTCCCCCCCAAATGGAATGCACTAGACTGGGTCTGCCACTCGATAACTAATTGGCAGGCATTTAACGTTACGCCAAATATTTGCACTTTCCCCCCCAAACACATAGTTGAAAAGGGCTCTACAGCCAGCAAGCGGGGGGTTGGGTGTTCAACTAATTTATTTGCACAAACACGCAAAATGCGCACTGCACAAATTAATTGTTATCGAATGTGCAATTGGTTGTGAATGTTTTTTTTTTGGTTTTTTTTTGTTTGTAGGTACTGTTGCGGATTGTTGTTTTTGTGCGGGCGGATTGGTTTGGTTTGGTTCACGCTCGGTTCAATGGGTTTTCTATCCTTTAACTAAACTAAATTGGAAATCAATTGGCTTAAACACATTTTAAAGTGCCACCGATTACGGTAGGGCTTAAAAGTGTGAACCAAATTGAATAAATAATACACACACATTTTATTTGCTTTTCGGCACTATGTTTCGCAGTTTTTTTTTTTAGTGGTAATATTTGATTTAAAAATGATACACTAAAAAGAAAAAAAATATAAAGGAAGATTGCATAAAAATGTCTAGCAATAAATAATGAACACTTATTTAGGAGATTACATCACGGATCGTAGGTTTAATCTCAGTGTATGTTCGTCTCATGAATTAACTACGAGATTATTCTCCGTGTAAAATCTTCTGCTGCTGGCTGTGCTTATTCTTCTATTATCTGACTTGTCTGCATTACTTTTCTGCACGCAAGTTTGAGCGGGAGAGAGTCGCGAGCTTCATAGATGCGAAGTAGCGATAAGAGCTCTGGCTGTCGTCGAACGTTGTCGAGTGCGAGCGAGAAAGGGAGAGGCTTGTGCTTTTACTTCATTCTTTTGCTGCACTCGTGTTGCGGAGAGAGTGCTTATTGAGAGCAGGCCTGTCCCACCTCAGAGAGGATCATGGAAGCGCGAACATGAATGTTCTTGCTTGGTCTTGCGGAGTGGGAGTGAACGTTATGTAAACATTTGGCATGGGAGGAGAAGTCTTTACAGAGCTTGAAAGTTAGCTTCGAGTTTTTAGTTCAACCGTTTTGATCTTGAATGTTTCAGCACACACAAACACACACCAAAACATCCGTTATTTGAGTGGCTCAGTGTAAAAGGGAATAGAACAATAGCATGAGGTTTCTAGTGAGAACTTTTTAAAATAATAATAGAGACAAATATGGATTGTGGATTTTAAAAATAAATTTTTATAATTTTCATCCCATAATCCCAATCCCAAATCTCGTCTCCCTATCCCTTATAGATCAGCAGCCCAATTAATTTTTGCGGTAATTTCTAATGCGATGGCAATATTTTCGGGCAATATCAAGCGAAAAATCGCATAAAATTGCATTGTTTTGAAATAATTATTATTTTATCGCTACAATAAACGTGAAATTTGTAGCCAATTGCCAATGATGTTTTATGTGTATTTAGCTGTAACCCGCCATGTGCCAGAGTTCATTTATGGCGCTGGTAAAATCTGTTTTTGGAAATCAATTAAAATTATAATTAAGCTGGCTGGCTATGGTGTAAAAATTGATTTTTAGTAACCACTTCTGGTCATTGACTTGATGGCAGATGTGGCGGATGGTGGATTTTAAATTTATAATTTTGCCCCGCTTTAAATTGTTCAAATTGTTGAATGGTTTTTTTTAAAAAATATAGTTAAGGGGGGGGGAAAAGAGCGCCCCCCCCGAAAGGACCCCCCCCCTTCCCTTCCTTTTTATTCTCAGTGTAACCACAAGAAATGTTAAAATTCAGCTTAATGGGTGAAGGGGGAATCCTAATGATGCCCACCCCCACATGCCCCTCCTTCACCAATCTGCACCACTTGCCACATTTTCAAGCATCAATGTGCTGCAATGCGGCGGCGGCTACCCCCCATCCAAGCACTCTCAATGCTGCCCTCCTGCTGCTCCCGCTATCCAATTGCCATTCCGAGTGCTGCTGCTGCTGCATCATCATCATCATCATCATCCTGGAGCGTTCTCAAATGCAAAACCGACGCCTGCAGTGGCGCCACACCCACCACCAAAGAAGAAGCAACCACCCACACCCACACCCCCACCACAGAGCACACAGCACAGCACCACAGTTATTATTATTATGATTATCGCAAACTGCAACGGGAACAGGCGGCAACGGCAACGGCAACGACATCAACTAACTGCACTTGAGCTATATTATCATAATCCCCGCAGCAGAAATTGCGCACAGTCAGCAGCAGCAGCAGCCACATCAGCCATTCGAGTCCCAGTCCCATTCCCTCTTACCTCCCTCTCTCTCCACCCACTTCGATGATGCTCCACCCCATCAACAGAAAGGGAATTTTAAAATTCATTGAATTCGATGCTCTGCTGGTTTGTGGTGGCTGCATGCCAATACTTTGGACCATTTCGAAACCCTCTCTATATCCATTCGAAAAAAAATAGGAAAAGAAATTGTGGCTGGAAGTAGTACAAATGGAAACCTCAAAGCAAGCAAAACAAACAGAAGGACTTTTCCCCACTGACTGTGAGCTGTGGCGGCGGTGGTGACTCCTCAGTGGTGTGACCTCATCAGTTCCGATCATCTACACAAATTGAATGCTCGCTCCGCTCCTTCTTATCGTAGAAGAAAGTCTGTCGTGTATCTTAATTGGATAAGTCATAACAGTGTACTAGGATGGTAAATTTGCAATACATTTGGGTGGATTTTTAACCATTTAGTTCAAAGAAATTGTATGCGTAACCAGTAGCTATTAGAGACATAAGACTTGACAGCTTGAACACATAGGGTCATGATATTTCGAGGGTAAAAATGGCCCATTTTTATACACAGTTTTCCAATTTGAGTGCTCCCTCGCTCTCTAGTTCTCATGCAGAATCAGTTGATTGTTGACTTAATCTTTAAGAGCTTCATGGATAAATTTACAGAATTTTTGTTCAGCTTTTCTTCATGTTTATTTATCATATTTGAGGCACAGCTTAAGTCCTCCGCTCAGCCACTACTTTTGATACCCCATTAAGTGTTACCCCATAAATAATTTCGTTTTAGAAATTCTTACAAAGCAAAAACTCTTTTATTTTCAACTGCAAGATGCAGAGAGTTCCGCCCTCGCACATCTTGAGCACCATTCAATTTAAAGTTTAATTCCTTCACTAAGGCAGCGGGGAAAACTTTGCCTTTAACTCTGGAGCTTTAGTTTTAAATTATTAATATTGCCAAGAGTCGAGTCCAGTCCCCAGCCGTAGTAGTAGTAGCTCTTTTTCCCCTTCCATTCATCCACTGAGGTAGCCAGTCGAGGCACAGGATGCAGGATGCAGGATGCAGGCTGCAGCATGGCAAACTGGAGGAGTCAGTGAGCCGGCTTCGGGGTAGGTAATGCAACTAATCTGCTTCTAGTGGCGCACATTAAGTGTTGCCACGCTTTCGACTTTAATTTGAAAACATAAAGCAGCCAAAGAGGGGGGAGGCAGTGCAGAGAAGCGACTAAAGTGCGGGCCACTTCTGCCGGCAACCTACATCCCACACCCACACACATTCACGACTATTTTTCATATTTTTTTTTGCTGCTGCGCTGGCCATTTTTGCATGCAACTCAACTTAACCGAGCGGCCAGGAGGCCACTCCAGCCCCCAACCAGGACCAGGACCAGGAGCTGGACCAGAAGAAGGACCACCGACCGGGAACGTCGAACCCCAAACCGACAACCAAATGCAAAGCAGAGCAGAGTGAACGAGCCATGACATCGACGTCAACGTTCGGGGGGGGGCTGCGCTTTCCGACTCGCTCCTCCCGCCACACTTCTCACTCATTCTATTCCTTGCTTTCAGATTCTGTATGTAATGAGTGGGTAAGGTACGAGAGAGAGAGAGAGAGAGTAATCGACTAGGGCAATACCTTATTCAGTACCATTCGAAATTTGGAATACGTTCTGGTAAGAATGTTAAAAGAGGAAATGATCTAGCTAGAGGTAGCATATGAACTTCCATGTTAACAGAAAGCGAAAATCATTAACTCTTTCCCAGCGTAGCTTAGCATTAGGTGGATAATTTTTTTAAATTAAAACAGAAAATGATAGAGTTATCCAATTGCAAGCTATGAAAAGATTTCCAACTTTAATTTTTTATCCTACATATTTTGTATTATTTATTTGTATATTATTTATATTTTATTTAATTTTTTATTTTTATTTAATATTAATATTTCGATCATTTCCTAGCTGGTCATGCCCTTTGCTAGGCTTTAAAACGAAAATAAATAACTGGCAGAGCAAAGCGCATTAAAACGGGTCATATTTGCCGCCATTCCAGCCGGGTGTGCCACCTAGGCACCCACACCCACCCACCCACCACCCACCAAGCCACATCTCTTCTGCTCTCCGCACTCACTCATATTGCTCCTCCGCTTCTCCCCTCTCCCACTCGGGCTTAGCTTATTTATGTCACAAATATGAGCAGGCGCGTACGCAATGCCACGGCTGGATGGACTTTCCTTGGTTGGATGGCCTCCACCTCCACCTCTCTCTCTCCTCCTTCTCTCTCGCTGCCACCTAATCACTCCTCCCCACCTGGCCGCTGCCACTGCCACTTCCACTGCCGTGTGCCGCCACCAC